GAGTCTGGCTAATGGTTTATCAATTTTGTTTATCTTCTCAAAGAACCAGCTTTTAGTTTTATTGATCTTTGCTGTTGTTTCCTTCATTTCTTTTTCATTTATGATCTGATCTTTATGATTTCTTTCCTTCTAACTTTGGGGTTTTATTGTTCTAGTTTCTCTCATTGCTTTAGGTGTAAGGTTATATTGTTTATTTGAGATTTTTCTTGTTTCTTGAGGGAGGATTGTGCTGCTCTAAACTTCTCTCTTAGAACTGCTTTTGCTGCATCCCATAGGTTTTGGGTCATTGTGTTTTCATTGTCATTTGTTTCTAGGTTTTTTTTTTTAGAACTTCATGTTTTAAAAAAATTTATTTTATTTATTTTAGGCTGTGTTGGGTCTTCATTGCTACGCGTGGGCTTTCTCTGGTTGCAACGAGCAGGGTCTCCTCTTCATTGTGGTGTGTGAGCTTCTCACTGTGGTGGCTTCTCTTGTTGCGGAGCACAGGCTCTAGGTGCACAAGCTTCAGTAGCTGTGGCTCATGGGCTCAGCAGTTGTGGCTCGTGGGCTGTAGAGCACAGGCTCAGTAGTTGTGGCACACAGCACAGGCTTAGTTGCTCCACAGCATGTGGAATCTTTCCAGACCAGGGCTTGAACCCATGTCCACTGCATTGGCAGGTGGATTCTTAACCACTGTGCCACCAGGGAAGCCCTGTTTCTGGGTATTTTTTGATTCCTCTTTGATTTCTTCAGTGATCTCTTGGTTGTTTAGTAGCATATTGTTTAGCCTCCATGTGTTTGTATTTTTTACCACTTTTTTCCTGTACTTGATATCTAGTCTCATAGCATTGTGGTCGGAAAACATACTTGATATGATTTCAGTTTTCTTAAATTTACCAAGGCTTGATTTGTGACCCAAGATATCATCTATCCTGGAGAATGTTTCATGAGCACTTGAGAAGAAAGTGTATTCTGTTGGTTTTGGATGGAATGTCCTATAAATATAAATAAAGTCCATCTTGTTTACTGTGTCATTTAAAGCTTGTGTTTCCTTATTTATTTTCATTTTGGATGATCTGTCCATTGGTGAAAGTGGGGTGTTAAAGTCCCCTAGTATGATTGTGTTACTGTCAATTTCCCCTTCTATGGCTGTTATCATTTGCCTTGTGTATTGAGGTGCTCCTATGTTGGGTGCATAAGTATTTACAATTGTTATATCTTCTTCGTGGATTGATCCCTTGATCATTATGTAGTGTCCTTCTTTGTCTCTGGTAATAGTCTTTATTTTAAAGTCTATTTTGTCTGATATGAGAATTGCTATTCCAGCTTTCTTTTGATTTCCATTTGCATGGAATATCTTTTTCCGTTCCCTCACTTTCAATCTGTATGTGTCCCTAGGTCTGAAGTGGGTCTCTTGTAGACAGCATGTATACAGGTCTTGTTTTTGTATCCATTCAGCCAGTCTGTGTCTTTTGGTTGGAGCATTTAATCCATATACATTTATGGTAATTATCAATAAGTATGTTCCTATTACCATTTTCTTAATTGTTTTGGGTTTGTTATTGTAGGTCTTTTCCTTCTCTTGTGTTTCCTGCCTAGAGAAGTTCTTTTAGCATTTGTTGTAAAGCTGGTTTGCTGGTGCTGAATTCTCTTAGCTTTTGCTTGTCTGTAAAGTTTTAATTTATCCATCAAATCTGAGATCCTTGCTGGGTAGCATAATCTTGCTTGTAGGTTTTTCCCTTCCATCACTTTAAATATGTCCTCCCACTCCCTTCTGGCTTGTAGAGTTTCTCCTGGAAGATCAGCTGTTAACCTTATGGGGATTCCCTTGTATGTTATTTGTTGCTTTTCCCTTGCTACTTTTAATAGTTTTTCTTTGTATTTAATTTTTGTTTTGTTTTGTTTTGTTTTTGCGCTCCGGGGGCCTCTCACTGTTGTGGCCTCTCCCGTTGCAGAGCACAGGCTCCGGATGCGCAGGCTCAGCGGCCATGGCTCACGGTCCTAGCCGCTCCACGGCATGTGGGATCTTCCTGGACCGGGGCATGAACCCGCATCCCCTGCATCGGCAGGCGGACTATCAACCACTGCGCCACCAGGGAAGCCCTGTATTTAATTTTTGATAGCTTAATTAATAGGTGTCTTGGTGTGTTTCTCCTTGGATTTATCCTCTATGGGACTCTCTGTGCTTCATGGACTTGATTGACTATTTCCTTTCCCATATTAGGGAAGTTTTCAACTATAATCTCTTCAAGTATTTTCTCAGTCCCTTTCTTTTTCTCTTCTTCTTCTGGGACCCCTAGAATTCGAATGTTGGTACGTTTAATGTTGTCCCAGAGGTCTCTGACACTATCCTCAATTCTTTTCATTTTTTTTCTTTATTCTGCTCTGCAGTAGTTATTTCCACTATTTTATCTTCCAGGTCACTTATCCATTCTTCTGCCTCAGTTATTCTGCTATTGATTCCTTCTAGAGAATTTTTAATTTCATTTATTGTGTTGTTCATCATTGTTTGTTTGCTCTTTAGTTCTTCTAGGTCCTTGTTAAACGTTTCTTATATTTTCTCCATTCTATTTCCAAGCTTTTGGGTCATCTTTACTATCATTACTCTGGATTCTTTTTCAGGTAGACTGCCTATTTCCTCTTCATTTGTTTGGTCTGGTGGGTTTTTACCTTGCTCCTTCATCTCCTGTGTATTTATTTCTCTGTCTTCTCATTTTGCTTAACTTACTGTGTTTGGGGTCTCCATTTTGCAGGCTTCAGGTTCTTAGTTCCCATTGTTTTTGGTGTCTGCCCCCAGTGGGTAAGGTTGGTTCAGTGGGTTATGTAGGTTTCCTGGTGGAGGGGACTGGTGCCTGTGTTCTGGTGGATGAGGCTGGATCTTGTCTTTCTGGTGAGCAGGACTGCATCCAGTCCTCCTTGCAGTATCTGTGAACTTATTTATGAGTTTAGGCAGCCTCTCTGCTAATGCGTGGGGTTGTGTTCCTGTCTTGCTAGTTGTTTGGCATGGGGTGTCCAGCACTGTAGCTTGCTGGTCATTGAGTGGAGCTGGGCCTTAGTATTGAGATCGAGATCTCTGGGAGAGCTCTCGCCGATTGATATTATGTGTGGCTGGGAGGTCTCTGGTGGTCCAATGTCCTGAACTCAGCTCCCCCACCTCAGGGCTCAGGCCTGACACCTGGCCAGAGCACCAAGACCCTGTCAGCTACATATCTCAGAAGAAAAGGGAGAAAAAAAAGAAAGGAAGGAAAAATAATTTTTTAATAAAATAAAATAAAGTTATTAAAATTAAAAATTTTTTTAATTATTAAAATAAGAAAGGTAATTAAAAAAAGAGCAGCAAAATCAGTAAACAAATCTACCAAGGATAACAAGTGCTAAAAACTAAGATAAACATAAAAATCAGAAACTAGTCAGTCACATACAGCAAACCCCAAGTCTGTAGTTGCTTCCAAAGTCCACTGCCTCAATTTTGGGATGATTTGTTGTCTATTCAGGTATTCCACAGATGCAGGGTACATCAAGTTGATTGTGGAGATTTAACCCGCTGCTCCTGAGGCTACACAGAGAAATTTCCCTTTCTCTTCTTTGTTCGCACAGCTCCTAGGGTTCAGCTTTGGATTTGGCCCTGCCTCTGCATGTATGTTGCCCTCTGGCATCTGTTCTTTGCCCAGAAAGGAGGGGGTTAAAGGAGCAGCTGATTCGGGGGCTCTGGCTCACTCAGGCTGTGGGGAGGGAAGGGTACAGAATGTGTGGTGAGCCTGCAGTGTCAGAGGCCAGCATGACACTGCAACAGCCCGAGGCATGCCGTGTGTTCTCCTGGAGAAGTTGTCCCTGGATCACAGGACCCTGGCAGTGGAGGGCTGCACAGGCTCCCTGGGGCATGGGTGTGGATATTGACCTGTGCTTGCACACAGGATTCTTGGTGACTACAGCAGCAGCGTTAGTGTTTCATGCCTGTCCCTGGTGTCCGGGCTGATAGCCGTGGCTTGCACCTGTCTCTGAAGTTCATTTAGTCAGTGCTCTGAATCTCCTCTCCTCGTGCACCCCGAAACAATGGTCTTTTGACTCTTAGGCAGTTCCAGACTTTTCCTGGACTCGCAGCTAGCTGTGGTGCACTAGCCCCCTTCAGGCTGTGTTCACACAGCCAACCCCAGTCCTCTCCCTGGGATCTGACCTCGGAAGCCGAAGCCAAAGCTCCCGGCCCCGCCCGCCCCGGCGGGTGAGCACACAAGCCTCTCGGGCTGGTGAGTGCCGGTCGGCGCCGATCCTCTGTGCGGGAATCTCTCCGCTTTGCCCTCCGCACCCCCGTTGCTGCGCTCTCCTCCGCGGCTTCGAAGCTCCCCCCCGGCACGCCCCGTCTCCGCCCGCGAAGGGGCTTCCTAGTGAGTGGAAACCTTTCCTCCTTCACAGCTCCCTCCCAGAGGTGCAGGTCCCGTCCCTATCCTTTTGTCTCTGTTTATTCTTTTTTCTTTTGCCCTACCCAGGTACATGGGGAATTTCTTGCCTTTTGGGAAACTTGAGGTCTTCTGCCAGCGTTCAGTAGGTGTTCTGTAGGAGTTGTTCCACGTGTAGATGTATTTCTGATGTATTTGTGGGTAGAAAGATGATCTCCATGTCTTACTCCTCTACCATCTTGGAAGTCCCTCCTCATTAAAATATTTGATGAAAAACTAATGTATTTTAAACTAATTATATCATCAAAGTGGGTTTATCTAGTTTTTCTTTTTAATATACTAAGCCCCAGTGGAAATTTTATTCAAAAGATTATTTCTTCTATATAATGTGATCATGAATAAAACATTAGGAGACTGGCAAATTAAAAAAAAAACTACCTATTGAAAAGTTATCCACAATAGTGAAAAAATTTTCTTGTAACAAATTTCAGGATACTTTTTCTTTACCTACTCTTCTTTCATTTGTCAGTGCTTTTATTTTCTATTGAAAAGTTGGTGATTTAAATACTATTTAAAATTTGACACTTTTTGCCTTAACTTTACATTCTTTTTATTGCACACATATAGGAAAGAGGAAAAACTGGAATCACTTCAGTATAACCGAAAGAAAGGAATCTACTACAGAAGACAATGATGAGTAAGTTTGTTGTTGCTGAAATAATATACTCGTGTGTCTTAAAAGAAAAAGGTCATATTTGTTAAAGTGACAGTTTAAGATAAATCATTTCTTTGCAGAAATGAATAGTTTATACCTGAGTAGAAGTATTTTTTCTTAAGTAAAATATTTATGATGTGTTTTGCCATGTTCATATGATGGTGATATATAATACCTTTATTTTAATACCCATTTAGCCCAGTTTCCCCAGCCTATGCTTAAGAGACTAGCTTAGGGTAAAACTGAGGGAAACACCCTCTTTGGATTTACATCGATGGACAAGTAATACATTGTCTTGGAACATAATTCCTGGTTCAAGAGCTAGGAACACAGTGAAGCCAGAAAAGTAAGAAATCTAGAGGAACCTAGAAAGCTTATTGGCCATCAATTATTTTCATATTGACCTGTCAAGGGTGCCTTGAATGAAGTCATTATGTGTAAAACGCTACTGCCTATGTATTCTGGGAAGAATATTTATATCTATCCACTGAGGCTGGAAAAATTGAAATAAGCAGAACAGGGGGTTCAAGTTTTAAAGTACTTCATATGTTCAGCTCATTTACCTTTCCAGCTGTGTGCACACATCTTGTGTGTGCCATACAATATGATGGATGGGTAAAGATGAAGAAAATGAAACATCTACCCATTGGGAGCTTATGGTCTCATGTTGTAAGTTAATATATCTACTCTAACTTAGAAATGGGTTGTAGGTTATGTTTCTAAATGTTATTTATTTATTTATTTAAATTGAAGTATAGTTGATTTACAATGTTGTGTTAGTTTCAGGTGTACAGCAAAGCAATTCAATTTTATATACATATATATATGTGTGTGTATATGTATATATATATATATATGTTATTACAACCTATAGGTTATTACAAGATATTGAATATAGTTCCCTGTGCTATACAGTAGACCCTTGTTGTTTATCTATTTTATATTGAGTAATTGGAATCTGTTAATCCCAAACTGCTAATTTATCCCTCCCTTCCCCCCACTTTTCCCTTGGTAACCATAAGTTTGTTTTCTATGTCTGTGAGTCTGTTTCTGTTTTGTAAGCCAGTTCATTTGTATCATGTTTTTTTAGATTCCACATATAAGTGATATCATATGATATTTGTATTTCTCTGTCTGACTTACTTTACTTAGTATCATCTCTAGGTCCTTTCATGTTGCTGCAAATGGCATTATTTCATTCTTTTTATGGCTGAGTAATATCCCATTGTGTATATACACCACACCTCGTTTATCCATTCATCTGTCAATGGACATTTAGGTTGCTTTGGTGTCTTGGCTATTGTAAATAGCACTGCAATGAACATTGGGGCACATGTATCCTTTCAAACCATGTTTTTATCTGTATATCTGTCCAGGAGTGGGATTGCTAGATCATATGGTAGCTCTATTTTTAGTTTTTTAAGGAACCTGCATACTGTTCTCCATAGCAGCTGTACCACTTTACATTCCCACCAACAGTGTAGGAGGGTTCCCTTTTCTCCACACCCTCTCCAGCATTTATTATTTGTAGACTTTCTGATGATGGCCATTCTGACCGGTGTGAGGTGATTTCTCATTGTAGTTTTGATGTGCATTTCTCTAGTATTTAGCGATGTTGAGCATCTTTTCATGTGCCTCTTCGTCGTCTGTATGTCTTCTTTGGAGAAATGTCTGTTTAAGTCTTCTGCCCATTTTTTAATTGGGTTGTTTGTTTTTTTGTTATTGAGCCACATGAGCTCTTTGTAAATTTTGGAGACTAATCCCTTGTTGGTCGCATTGTTTGCAAATATTTTCTCCCATTCTGTGGGTTGTCTTTTCGTATTGCTTATGGTTTTCTTTGCTGTGCAAAAGCTTTTAGGTTTAATTAGGTCCCATTTGTTTAATTTAGTTTTTATTACCATTACACTAGGAGTCAGCTTGAAAAAGATATTGCTGCGATTTATGTCAAAGAGTGTTCTGCCTGTGTTTTCCTCTGTGAGTTTTATAGTATCCAGTCTTACATTTAGATCTTTAATACATTTTAGTTTTGTATATGGTGTTAGAGAATGTCCTAATTTCATCTTTTTACATGTAGTTGTTCGGTTTTCTCATCACCACTCATTGAAGAGACTGTCTTTTCTCCATTGTATATTGTTGCCTCCTTTGTTGTAGATTAATTGATCATAAGTGTGTGAGTTTATTTCTGGTCTCCTGTTCCATTGATCTATGTGTCTGTTTTTGTGCCAGTACTATACTGTTTTGATGACTGTAGCTTTGCAGTATAGCCTGAAGTCAGGAAGCGTGATTCCTCCAGCTCCATTCTTTCCCAGGATTGTTTTGGCTCTTCAGGGTCTTTTGTGTTTCCATACAAATTTTTAAATTACTTGTTCTAGTTCTGTGAAAAACGCTATTGGTAATTTGATAGGAATTACTCTGAATCTGTAGACTTCCTTGGGTAGTATGGTCATTTTAGCAATCCAGGTGTACGGTATGTTGTTTCTGTTTGTGTCATCTTCAGTTTCTTTCATCAGGGTCTTATTGTTTTTGGAGTACAGGTCTTTTTCCTCCTTTGGTAGGTTTATTCCTAGGTATTTTATTCTGTTGGATATGCTGGTAAATGGGATTGTTTAATGTCTCTTTCGTTGTTAGTGTATAGAAATGCAACAAATTTCTGTATATTAATTTTGTATCCTGCAACTTTACCAATTTATTGATGAGCTCTAGTAGTTTTATGGTGGCATCTTTAGGATTTTCTAGGTATAGTATCATGTCATCTGTAAACAGTGACAGTTTTACTTTTTTTACTTCATTTCCAATTTGGATTACTTTTATTTGTTTTTCTTCTCTGATTGCTGTGGCTAGGACTTCCAAAACTATGTTGAATAAAAGTGGCAAGAGAGGGCATCCTTGTCTTTTTCCTGGTCTTAGAGGAAATGCTTCCAGCTTTTCACTGTTGAGTATGATATTAGCTGTGGGTTTAGCTGTGGGTTTAGCTGTGGGTTTGTCATATATGGCCTGTATTATGTTGAGGTATATTCCCTCTACGCCCACTTTCTGGAGAGTTTTTATCATAAATGGATGTTGAATTTTATCAAAGCTTTTTCTGCATCTATTGAGATGATCACATGCTTTTTATTATTCATTTGTTAATGTGGTGTTTCATGTTGATTGATTTGCTGATATTGAAAAATCCTTGCATCTCTGGGATAAATTCCACTTGCTCATGATGTATGATCCTTTTAATGTATCATTGGATTTGGTTTGCTCATATTTTGTTGAAGATTTTTACATGTGTGTATTGGCATGTAATTTTCTTTTTTTGTGATATGTTGTCTGGTTTTGGTATCAGAGTTACATTGACTTCATAGAATGAGTTCAGAAGTGTTCCTTCCTCTGCAATTTTTTGAATGGTTTTAAAAGGGTCAGTTTTAACTCTTGTCCAGATGTTTGGTAGAATTTGCCTATGAAGCCATCTGATCCTGGACTTTTGTATTTTGGTAGTTTTTAAATTACTGTTTCAATTTCAGTAGTTGTGATTGGTCTGTTCATATTTTCTGTTTCTTTCTGGTTCAGTCTTGGGTCTGAGTGTTTTTTAAATCATTTGAGTGAACCTTAGAATGCATTTTCCATACAAATTGTGTTGTTATTTGTGGTTATAACCTCAAGTCAGGGCTACAAGTCTATTTTTTTCATAATGTAGGTGAAGTATAGTATTAATCAGTAGTAGTCTAGATAAAAAGATATGGAGAGTGCCACTTAGCATACAGTAGGGACAAAGGGAAGAGTTTTCTCAAAGAGGTCTCCTTCTTTGACAGCTTCATCTATCACCTGTACCCCTTTATCTGTTTTTATAGCTGCTTTCCCTAGCCATACTCCCCCCAGTTCCAAATATTTTCATGTGCCCTATCCCACAGATAGTTTTGTTGTCAATTACCATTCCTCCTTCCTCTAACCAAAGTTCCAATTTCCTTGGTGAAACCAATCTCAACTAGATATTAAGTGAGAAGCATTATTTTTTTGTTTAACTCATTTAATATATTTTAAAAGAGACAGTAGATGTACATAATAAAAACTCAAACTGTACAAAGGGATATATAGAAAGCAAGTGGCAAGTAACAATTTTTGAATCACATATAATCTTGTATTTGAAAGCAGTTACCTGCTAAACCAAATTAATCTCTGATACAGTTGTATGAAGTATAACAAACTTAGAAGTAAAAGTAGACAGGCAATGAGAAAATATTTTTGGACAGTAGTGATACCATGTAAGCAAACCAGACTTACCGGTTGCTTTCCCCTGAATCAGCTCCACTTAAGCTATCCTAAGTTTTCATAGTGTTTTACCTTTTTTCTTCTGAACCCATCAATCTGCTTACAGCTTGACATTTTTTTTAAACTTTTTATTTTATATTGGAGTATAGTTGATTAACAATGTTGTGTTAGTACAACAAAGTGATTCAGTTATACATATACACAGTAGCTCCCATAGCAGTGAGCTTTCAAGTAGCAAGGGAGGAGCAAGAACCTTTGTTATGGGTCACTTAGGAATTTGCCAATATTTATTTAATTTCCCTCAATATTTGTTTCTAAAGATCCCTGTTATTTATGTATATCACTCCATGACTTGGTGTTAGAATTAATGAATTTAAGTACAAGCCAAGATATCTTACAATATATAAAAATTATGTGTTTCTGATTGTTTTTTCCACCCATCATAAAATTACTCAGACCTAGTCAATAGAGCTGTTTTATTAGCTTTAGTAATAAGCTCTTTATTTATTCCATTTGTTTAGATTTGTTTTATTATTTTGTAAAACCATTCCAAAGACTTGGATTTTTTAAAACCTGAAATTAAACTGAACATTTTGTATTTTTAGATCAATTTTAAATGATTATAACATTTTATGTTTTGTTTTGGCAATTGCATTAGGTTGTGGTTTTCCAGAGAAACAGAAGCAACAGCAAATGTACATACATATAGTAATGTAATAATAACAATAAAA